ATTGAAGTCACCCGCCGGCCGGAAACGGCCCGCGGGCCATCAGTTGAATAGCCCTAGACACTCCTGGCAGTTATACCCATAACCACAGTTCCAAACCACTTCTGAGTGTTATTTCTTTATTATTTTTCTTTATTACAAATTCACAAAAATGTTTTAATTTTTGCAAGATATTTTATGCTTTCCTGATAGAAATACTGTAAAACTATAAACTCTTGTTGTTAGTAATTAAACTATGAACAGCTGCTTTTTTATATGGTTGCTATAGATACCTGTGTTGCTGTATATATAATAGAGTCTTGCTGATGGGAAGCCTGGAAATAAGCTTTCCAATTGTTGAACAGTCAATGCAAAGAATTCTGTTTATTTATTTATTGTCTTTTGTATATTATTGTCTTGCACTCTTTTCTCATTCAAGCTCACATGTTTCTCTGCTTCACTTGGTTGTTATTTATTTTTGTCTTGCTCCATATTCTTCATCTCTCTGAATTATTTAATTGCTTTTTTTCCTCTTTCTTTAAAGGAAAGTTGAGATGTTTTAAAAAGAGGTTTTGTGGAAAGAATATAAATATATGTTGCAGATGCCTCTTCAAACAACCTCAGTTTAGAGAAAATGTTTCATTCTTACAGGACTGACAAGATAAGGGCTAGTAAAAACAGGGTCGAGATCAGATAGCTGCAAATTTGATGCAAACACTCTTTTATCAACTATTACTCAATTTTCAGTTTTTCACTGCACAATTATTCCAACATGAATAGCATATTCTTGCTAGAGGTGCTTTAGGCTGCACCAGAAGAGTCACAGCTATAGCTACTGATGTATTTATTTTCTCTCGCAAATAACTTTAAAATTTCATGTGAATAACACTTCATTGCAAATTTGATAGCAGTGTAAAGAACTCCTCTTTGGTTTTAATCCCACTTCAATTGGCCATCATCTCATCAGTCCATTAGAAATCCTTTAAATTTTTCTAAACTGAGGTACAGTAGTTCAATACTTCCTGCTTCGTTTATCGTGGACTCGCTCTATCGTGGTTTTTCAAAAAAAGATTGGACATGACACACAATTGGCTGATTGATGGATGAGCCGCACGATCGGCATGGAATTTTTATTTAAAATAAATTATTTTAAATTATTTTGCACCTGCTGCACATTTGTGCAGTCCATACTGCAGGATATTCCTGCTGCAGCTGATCAGCTGTTCTCGTGCAGAGAGAAGAAGTGGGCGTGGCCAAGAACATTTGCAGGTGGCAAAGAGCAGAGGAGGCAGGGAGCTGAAATCATGACATTCTGTGCTTTTTTTAGAGCATTTAGAGTTTAGAAACATTGTGTAGAATATTGCACGAGTGTGGGAAGGGTTTAAAATGCCTTTATTTATATATATATACATATATATATATATATATATATATATATATATATATATATATATATATATATATATATATATATATATATATATACACATACACACATACGCACACACTAAAATAAACTACTTGTACTACTATTCCTACTTCGTGGTTTTTCACTTATGGCGGGGCTTCAGGGTATAGAGCTGCCACAATAAACGAAGGACTACTGTAATTCAAAACGTCATCTAAAACAGGTAAAATGTTAATTGTTTCTAACCTTTCTGCAAAATTCTTATCTGTCACTTGTATTTTTGTGTCCTCCCAGTTCCTGTGCACAGTTGTTGCCATCCTGCTGCATTACTTCTTCATGTCCACGTTTGCTTGGATGTTCGTGGAGGGTCTCCATATCTACAGGATGCAGACCGAGCAACGCAACATCAACTATGGAGCCATGAGGTTCTACTACGCCATCGGCTGGGGTGTGCCTGCCATCATCACAGGTGCTGTTCACATTGAAGAAAACGTCTGCAGACACTTTTAATGACAAAAATACTGTTTCATGCAGTATGTGCACAGTCATCACGCACGTTCTCTGCATGTGTGGCTGTGGAGATAAGGTTTCCTACTGACACTTGTATTAAAAAGGTTTCAGTGGCATTTTTAATACTGAGATAGTAAAGCTGAAATTCACGTGCAAGTAATTATTGCCATGAGACACGGTGTCGGAAAGTAATATCTGTCGGCTCCTTGACACACACAAACGCTCACACAATCACAGTTTCTATCCAAACCCATACCCTGCTGTCAGCTCACCTCTATCTGTGGCTGTTTCTGTCGCTGTCAAATGCACAAGCTGCTGTCTCCAGCTTCCTGAAAAAAGATTTGTCACCCACTATCACACATACACACACATTTCATGCCTCAAGCTCAAAGTTCTGTAATCTGTCTGCCTACATTTAGGCTTTACCTGTTGCACAATTGTTTAAATTCTTTTGGTGCACAAATGCCAAACCTTGATTGTGATGTCTAAAATAAAAGGATGCAGTACTCCTGTTCAAATAAACTCCTTTTTCTGAGGAGTTGATTTGCTCAGAATTGATTGATAGATCTGGTTTGTTTTAATTATAAATTACTATAAAGAATAACACACATCAATCTGATGTGTCCTGTTATGACATTTATGTGTCATAGATTGTGTTTATTATTTATTTGTGACTGATGATAGAAGACAACAAGAGCTGATCCTATCTTCCTATCTGTTTCTCCTCTGCAGGCCTGGCTGTGGGTTTGGACCCGGAGGGGTACGGGAACCCAGACTTCTGCTGGATCTCCATGTATGACAAACTCATCTGGAGCTTTGCTGGTCCTGTCGCCATTGTCATCCTGGTAACTGTAACTCAAGTTAACTCTCTATACAAATGAATATAGATAAATACTAGTGAGGCTATGTTGATTAATGTTTGTCAAACACAGTCAAGTCTTATTATTTATATTTTTGGCTTTGTCTTAATAAGTGATATACTGCCTTTGCCTTCGTTTTATCCCCAAAGCAAACAGGCAAACCTATTTTTCAAATAGATTTTCATTTGGCAAACATCCAGGTTTTTAATATTTGGCTTCCTAACCGAGAAGGATTCTAACATCAGTCATAAGTGGCACCTCTTCAAACTGATTTCAGAAAGAGAGAGTGTCCACTTGAACTTGACTAGACCATCATTTTAATTTCTGACCTCATCATGTAACATCTTTCAGTTTTGATATTCACTTCACCAGTGGACACTTTCCAAGCTTTCCACACACGTGTCTGTTCTACTTCAGCTTCTTCTGATCTTTTCATTCTATTAAATTTTATTCTTGTACCATATTTTTTTTACTATAAGGTGCACCAGATTATAAGGCGCAATAAGCAAAACTAAAACATTTTGACAGATTTTAGCGCACCGTGTACCACATAAAATCAGTTTGAGGTTTGTAAGCACAACCACAATAAATACATAAGGTTCACTGTTGGTTTTTGAGAAAATTAAAGGATTTTAAATGCGCCTGATAGTCTGAAAAATATGGTATATTCTATGACATCAACAAAAGCTAGGATTTCCATCTCATTTACAAAAATAAAGTTAATACTAATTAGGTTTGTCACGATAAACAATAAATCAATTACATAATAAATTAAAATTATCCACCTCGTTTTCATTTATTGGCTTTATCGTTTCATCGTGTCTCTCTACTATTAAGCTGAGAAGCTAAGCCGACCTCGGGGAAAAAAACTTTGTCTTTTCGAAGCTCCAAAATTCACGGTTGAAACCCGTGCCTTTGTATAAAAAGTTTTTCTCTTCAAAAAGAAGCTGAGAACTTGTTTACTGATGTTTTTTATTAAAAGCTTTGTGTGAAAAATGCTATGCTAAAGAGCTCAAACCACATTGACTGTCCGCCATTTTGAGAACCAAAGAGAGACGGCCCATGTCACGTCAAGGGGCCTCCCTCCCATTCTTCTTAAAAAGACACGCTGCTCGCTCCCTCACTATCCATCCTTCGGTTCAAACAGTCTTATACTGCCATCCGGTGGTCAAAAAAAGTACTACATGCAAAACAAATGAAACATTTCTTCTTGAATTTGACAATATTACTAATTATTGTCAAATTTCAAACAATATTATCGTTTATCTCAATAATTTCTGAGACAATTACTCGCCCAGCAAAATTTGTTATTGTGACAGGCCTAATATTAATGACATTCCTTTTATCCTTTTATTCCTGATATATCCAATAGCAAAACTGAATTTGTTAAAATGATGTTCAAAAATGCTTAAATTAATTTTCCACCATCCAGATGAATGGAGGGATCTTCATGGTTGTCGCCAAGATGTCCTGTAACCCAGCTCAGAAGGAGACCAAGAAACTCCCTGTTGTGTAAGAACTTGTCTCACTGATTGTGAGACACTTAAGTTTTGTCTTTATGAAGCAATTAGTTTGTCCAGCTGCAAATGATTCCAACAAATGAGCCAAATGTAGAAAAACGGTTGATGCATCATGCACATATAGTTGAATGTTGTTGAAACAGTTTGAAAATGAACAGGAAAGCAAACAGAATACTGGTTTTGTCTGTTGGTCCAGTGCTAATATCAGAAACGCCTTCCTGCTCATGCTGGTAGCCACCTCCACATGGCTGTGCGGTCTGATGGCTGTAAACAACAGCATCCTGGCTTTCTACTACATATTTGATATCCTCTGCCTTCTGCAGGTACGGACAAAACATTCTGTGTTTATCTGAACCCGGAGCTGGATATTTAACAAACTGACATCTTTAACGTAAAGTTATCCCTCTCCTCTTCCCTCCCAGGGTCTGGCAGTGATGCTGGTCTTCACTGTGTTCAACTCAGAAGTTCAGGAGGCCTGGAGAGTTGCCTGTCTGGGTAAGAAGAGCCCCGGAGAAGACCCACCAAGACCACCACAGAGCACAGTAAGTTGCACACACATTTTCCTTTTGGGTTTGAATTTGCAACATCCATAACTTAAAGCCAAAAAAATGTCTGAATTACAGCGGCCTTAATGTGCTTTAATTTAGTCAGAACATTAGCAACAAGCCTCAAAACAGATATGAAACATTATCAGAATCGTTTAAATGGAGACCACAAGATTGTCATTATTGAACAGTAATGCCTTTCAGAGTCGATCTAAAATCCTGATGTGAAGCCATTAATCATCTCTCTGTGCGATCCCGGGGGCTATAAGTGTGTTTTTATCCCAATGCGCTCTCTTGGATGCACATTCTCATTGTTTCCATTACCACCAGCACAGGAAACTTTCTGTCCTCCTTCCCTCAATCCATCTATCAGTCTTTCCTGCCCTCGTTTGCTCCTCTTCTTTTGCCTTCCGGGTTTCTTGCTGACCCACATAAAACAATATACAAGCCTTTAGAATCCTGCCTAATCTGCAGCCACTTCTGCAAAACCATTGGGCAGCCCTGTTTTAGTGTGTGTATAAAAACGTATCCTACTTTCATACAGTGTAACTTTATGTACTCTTGCCTTGTAATTTTTAGTTCAGCCCACTGAACATAAGCCACTGCTTTCTTTAGCCTTTTTCTGTCAAAAACACTTATTATCTTTCTATTTTTGCACGAGTGACAAAGGCAGAAACCTTTGCTCTGAGCCCTGAATGCATCATGGAAACATTTGTGAGTTGTTTTGTAGTGTGTGCATGGATGAGCAATTGCGTGAGTGCATTTTAACCCCTGCATTTCTCTCTTTTTTTCTGTCTTGAATCATCTGGAGAAAAGCCTGAAACTATTAATATAAAAAATACTTTTCAGTTTATTTATTTATTTTTACCTTTGATGAGCAGCATGTATAAATGGCTGCCTGTTAGCGTCCTTTTGCTCGTCTGACTCATATCATGCTGTACAGAGGTGGAAGTAATAATTACAAATACTCACGTTACTGTAATTAAGTAGATTTCTTTGGGTACTTATACTTTCATGAGTATTTCTTTCGAGTGTGTAATTTTACTCAAGCTGCACAGTTTAGACCATGTAATCTACTTCGCTACTTTTAAAATCAGAAGTTGTTACTGAGAACGGCCGCAGTTTGAATTAATATTCAAACTGCTCATCTGCATCTTTGTAGCCAATAAGGCTCTCAGATCGCACGCGCACCAGTTACCTGTGACGTAAGCAAAGGACAACGCTGTAGTCATTTGGAGTCTACTCTTCACAGCCAAACGAAGCCGGATAGACTCTGTTAACTTAGAAAACCAGCTCCTGCTGACACTGAACAAAAGGTTCAGGAAGTGAAGGGTGACAGAAAAGTTTAAACTGTTTTATGCCTGTTCAAAAACATTTTTGTCTTTCTTTTAGCAAACAAAATTCCTGCTTTATCTACATTTGTTTACAAAAGAAATGGCCTCAGTGTAATTTTTCTATACTTTATTGTTCATCTGCAAAATATGCTTTGAATGTAGCTATTATACACAGTAAATCAAATTGAATGACTTCTATTAACAACACAATAAAACATCAATTGGTTAAAAAGTAATTAATACTCTGAGTAGTTTTTGAGAAGACTACTTTGTACTTACTTAAGTATTTTTATAACACCAGTACTTTTACTTGTACTTTTGAAAAAAGGGGCAGATATAATAAGATTTTTTTCATCTTTCTGCTGCCTTTCATTTTAAATTGCTTGTATTTTTTTAATATAGTTATGAAACTGTTTTGTATTTTTAAAATGAAAAAACTTTATACCATACCATACTTATAATTGAGTACAATTTAAGCAGTGTAACAGTGCTTGTACTTGAGTACAAATGTTCAGTACTCTTTCCACCTCTGAGGCTGCATGCTCTTTATGATTACACCGACCAATAAACGGCACAGTGGAAGGTCCATCTTACTTTTAGACTGGAGCTCTGGCTCCACTTTCCAAACCTAGTGTTTATTTTATTTTATTTAACATCCATAGGTAGCCTTATCTTAATATGGGGGCATAAATTAATGCCTGCTAAAGCTTGGATTTTGATGCTCACTAGCTTTATTGTGAACATGTAAGGCCCTCCTGATGTTTCTTGTTAACGTGTGATATTTTAGGCTCAGAATCCGTATCATAATGCATCTCTGCTGGAGCAGAGCGGGCTGCACCGTATCACCCTGGGAACCTCCACCATCTCCTCCGTCAGCTCTGCAAGGTACACACCAGTGTCCACACATAATTACAAACCAGCTGCAAATTTTGCTAAAAATTAAAATTAAACTCCAAAAGGAATCTGGTCAAAAACAACAACACTCACGTTTCTGCAAGAAGAAAAACAAAGTTTGTTTCTTTCTTTTTAAGAGCAAGAGGCTCGACAGCAACAAAAAAAACAATAAACTGATGTTGAATCTGAATAAGTATTAAATAAAACAGAAATTAAAATAATCTAAAAGGGTTGCAACATGTTTTGTTGATTCTGTCTGATTCAAGATTAAGATGCTTCAAAGCCAATATTCCCTCGCTAACAGTTTTCATGTTGAGTGCTTTGTGGGTCAGTGGGATAAAGATGAAGATTGGATGGAACAATGTCCTGAACTACATGTAGAGCGACACTAATGTACTCTGAAAATGGCATTTAATGTCTTTATGGTCCAGTAGTTACACTGGTGAGTGTATATCCAGTGCACTCTACTGGACATACATGTTTTTTATCTGTGTTTAACTTCATTTGTGTCTGTCTTCACTTTTATTTTTATTATCAGAGAAAATCTTCTGGCGCGTCAAACTCTAGAACAGAACCTTGTCCAGACCGGAGCGACAGACCTGGATGTGGCCATGTTCCACAGAGACGGAGGTAAATGTACGTTTGTGTGGTTCTTTTTTTCTGCTTTCTTGATGTGAATTTCATAAAACATAAAGCACACACAGTGCACCCATTAAAGACAGTCGTATCCTTCTCTGTCATTTTCCTCACTTATACCTTGTTTCCTGTCTCTGCATCTCCAGGTGGGGACTCGGACTCAGACTCGGACCTCTCCATGGACGAAGAGCGCAGCCTCTCCATCCCTTCTTCTGAGAGTGATGACAACGTGCGTCTCCGTGGGCGCATCCAGCGACGATTCAAACGCTCCAATCACAGCGAGCGCCTGCTCACCGAACCCACCAACAACGGCACCAAAGGTGCACGAGTGATTTGTCATATTTTATACCATACCAATTTATTTATAGAGCATTTAAACAGCAACTAGGCCAACCAAAGTGCTATACAATAGAAACAAACAAGCGCAGCGGACAGGAAAACATACAATAAAAATCTAGATACAAAAAGCAGTAGATAATAACTAAATGGCCAACACTGTAGAATACAGACAGGATCAAAACAAATCACATCGTGTCAAAGGCAAGAGAATAAAAGTGGGTGTTCAGGCGAGACTTAAAGACTGAGTGTGGAAGCCTGCCTGACACGCAGTGGCAACTCATTCCACAGTCTTGGACCTGCAACAGAGAAAGCCCTGTCACCTCTGAGCTTATGACGGGTTACTGGAACTGAAAAAAGCATCTGGTCTGCTGACCTCAGAGAGCGCGGTGGGACATATGGCTGCAGAAGATCAGTGAGATAAGATGGGGCAGAACTGTTCAGTGACTTAAAAACATGCATGAGTCTTTTGAACTGGATCCAAAGGTGAATGGTAGGCAGTGCAGGGAAACCAAAACTGGTGTAATGTGCTCTCTATGGTCTGTACCAGTTAAAAATCAGGCTGCAGCTGCATTTTATGTACACTGAAGGTTGAAGCTGTAACTTCATATCATAAGGGCGTTATGAAACTATTTGATGGAAAATTATGTCAAAGTCAGGAAACATTTTTACTGCATCCTTTTTAAGTAACAGTATCAAACATTAAGCTTCTCTAGGGAGGGTAGAAACTTGTTGTATGCTCTTTATTGGATAAATTAAGTTCCAATGAACAGCTCAGTTACAAGGACGTAGTTTAAATGCAAATTTTTGACTCAATACAGAAAAAGAATCAAATTTGAATAGAAAATGTTCCAACGACTCCTGCATTATAATTCCTGCTTTTGCTCCTAATTCTGTATCTAATACCGTATTTTTCAGACTATAAGGCACACTTAAAATCCTTTAATTTTCTCAAAAATCGACAACGAGCCTTATGATCTGGTGCACCTTACAGTATGTATTAATTCTGCTTGTGCTTACTGACCTCAAAAACCCATTTTGAGTGGTACAACTGAACAATGTTGAGTGTTACTGTGAATGAGTTGAATAAAGTGCCTTATAATCCAAAAAATACAGTAGCTGAACAGTTTTGGAAATAATGCCAATAAACCCAACAGCACTCACATAAAACAAGAGGAAACATCAATGCCATTCAGTGAACACCTTTTCTCCTCTGTTACTCATCAACTAAAACCATTCATACCATGTATTATACACTTCAAACCATTGATGTAAAAGCCATAGTTCAACAGTTCTTGTGAAATGTTTCACTCTGAGTAAGGCCAGATATGTGCCAGTTTGTAAATTGATACAAGTAATTAATTATTTGCTTAATGTGCTGTTTGGATCACATGAACTTTACTCAGAGTGAAACCAGAACATAACTTTCAGTTTGGTTGGAAAGGGCAGGATCCAGATGTGCCGTACAGGCCAATCAATAAATCAGTGACGTCAAACTGAAAAGGAGCGCTGAGACAGCTGAGCTTTAGCTGAAGGTCGCAGTCTGAAGGGAGGCCTTTGTCTGTCACCAAGCTTTAACCACTTGAGATCTGAATAAGTTTTTAGATTGTCAGCTGAACAAAGAATTATAGCCCCGTCAGAGCCGAAGAGCTTGACAATAACCCCGGGAGCCGTTTCACTTCCTTTATTTAACCAGATTTAAACCCCATTTCATTTGTATGGGGACCTGGGTTGTTTGATCTGGCAAAAAGAAAAATTTTAAAAAATTCTTAAATTGTCATAAGTTTTGTTGTTGCTGAAAGATCTGTAAAGATCATGTATTATAAGAAAAAATAATTATATACAATGTTTACTGTTGTGAATCATTCAAACATCACTGGCACATTGACATCAATTTTGCTGTATATTTTACAACCAAAATGTATAACTCTGTTATTTGGAAAATGAATACAGAAATGGATTTTCTCTCTCTCTTTTATAAAACTGTTAAATAGTTTGAAGATTTTTAGGTTTGTGGATTAAAATGACTGGATTTTGTCTGAAAAAGCATCTAAAGAGATTGCAAAAGACAAGTTTTCAGATTCACTATTTGATTTATACCATTTTTTTAAGAAAATGTTTAATCATTCAGCAAATAACAAATACAAAAAAGTATATGAAGATTCATTTTACTCCTTATTTGAACATTAACACAAACCAAATTCCAGAAAGGCCTAAACACAATATTTGTTTTCATCATATTTTTGTCTCAGTTTCAGACCCATTACACCCCGAGATTCAGAAAACTGAAACAAAATTGTAAAAATAAAAGCTGATATTAATAAAGGCAGAAATTTTTACTTGTAAACTTTTTCATAAATGTGGCTGGATCATTATATTTTGACGTGAGATTTTCAAAATAAGAATCAGGTATTTAATGACTAAAAAAACTAATATATATTTTTTATTTGCCCGTTAGCTTTTTGCTCTGTACAAATGAAATGAAATTTCAGGTCAGTGTCAATTTCTTAATTACCGTATTTTCCGGCGTATAAGTTGTCTTTTTTTTTTGCATAGATTTGTCAGTCCTGGGACTTATATGCCGAAGCAACTTATATACTTTGTTTTTCCATATTCATTACGCAATTTTTGACTGACGCTTTAAATTTCTAAGAACTGCAACAGCGAGTCCTCCTGTGTGCGCTCGCTTCACTCAGCTGGTGCAGGCAGAGGAACACTGGAGAGCTAGCGACTCCGGCCACGATGGATGGATGGATGGATGGATGGATGGATGGATGGATGGATGGCACCGTGCCACCAAGGCTAAATGAAGCTGTTTTGACCATTAAATAAACTCATAATAAATGTGACTTACTGTATATGCCGAAGCGACTTACATTTGTATATGTTTTTTCCTCTTCATAATGCTGTTTTTGACTGATGAGACTTATACTCTGGAAAATATGGTAAATGATAAAAAAAATACAAAAACTTATAATAATAAGTAAAACAATGTAGCTTTTCAAAACTGTTTACGGACTTTAATAATTACGTTGTGAGTGATGGAACTGTTGTGTATTTTCCTCTTATAAAATAAAGAGCTGTGAACATGAAAAGTGGTAACTTTTAAAAACACCTAATCTCATGGTTTGCTGATCGTACATTTGTTAGTAACCTGAATGTTTTTATTTATGTGTGACAGATCTGGATGGCAATGACCTTTTGTCCTACTGGCCAGCTTTGGAGGCATCGGACACACACACCTTACAGAAGTGGGGCTCGGAGCGGCCCCTGGGTGCAGATTACAGCAAGGATGCTGCCAACAACAACCAGCTGGACGCAGCGCTCACCAGTGGGGATGAAAACAGCCTCTCTCAGCCTCACAGGCACCGCAAGGGTGAGAGAGACGCAGAAAAATACACATTCTGTATTCTATTATTTAATTTATCATTTTATGGATTTGTTCGGGCAGCACGATGGCGCAACTGGTAGAGCTGCTGCCTCTCAGCGAGAAGGTCCTTGGTTCAAACCCCGGTCCAGGGGCCTTTCTGGGTGGAGTTTGCATGTTCTCTCCGTGCATGCGTGGGTTTTCTCCGGGTACTCCGGTTTCCTCCCACAGATCAAAAACATGCATGTTAGGCTGATTGGTAACTCTAAAAATTGTCCCTAGGTGTGAGTGAGAGAGTGAATGGTTGTTTGTCTCGTTTGTCTCTATGTGGCCCTGTGATGGACTTGCGACCCGTCCAGGGTGTACCCCGCCCCTCGCACAGTGATTGCTGGACATGGGCACCAGCGACCCCCGTGACCCAAAATGGAATAAACGGGTAAAGATAATGGATGGATGGATGGATGGATTTGTTTGGTACAAAATGGTTATCCCTTACAATAAAATCACATGGTTTGGTTTAGTTATTAAATACATGTTTGGGATTACAGAACTATATAATATGAAACTTTTATTACTCATTCCTTTATTAATAAATTTGGTCTTAATCATAAAATGTCCATTTTTTTCTATGAAGGGGGAAAAAAATGACATTTAAAACATTGGTCATGCTGCTGGAATGTGTTAATGACATTTTAAGGAAAAACGAACAGACAAATGTAGAGGCTATGCATGCACACAAGCGTTTATTTCTACATGAACATGCAGTACTTGAAAGCAACATCTAACAGTGCTCAAGATGAACGAGTCAGTCCAACATCTGCCTCAGGAAGTTCATAGTCCACACCCAGAACCAGTGTTGTGTGATGACTCATAACATCTTAAGTATGACAGAAAACAAAATGAAAATGTCAAAAGTGTTCCTGCCATCAGCCACTTTCATCATTTTCTTTATCCACTGCTTTTTTTCAGAAACCCCTCAGTACCCGGCTGCATTTCTTTTTCTTGAACAGTTCAGTCTCTTAAAAAAAAAAAAAAAGTATTTCTTCTATTGCTGCAAGCTCTCTTCTCATGACTTCTTTCTTTCTCAAGTTGTTGATTTCTTGTTGCAGGTATCCTAAAAAATCGTCTTGGATGCCCACCAGCACTCCAGGGTCTTTCCACGATGGGACACGTCCCCAGTGAACTCAACTGGTACCGAACCTCCACACTTGGCCATCGAGGCGTTCCGGCAGCTTCATATGGCCGCATGTACTCTGCCACAGCCGGGGCCACAGGAGGTTCTGGCTCTCTCTCCCAGCCAGCTTCCCGGTACTCCTCCAGGGAACATCTGGACTCTCTTGCCAGGAGGCAGCTGTCCAGGGATCCACTAGGGAGGCAGACGGTTGGAGGTTCGAGAGAGCGTCTGGACTCCCGGGGCTCCAGGGATAACCTGGATCTTTTACCCAGGAGGAGAGAGCTGGGACTGGGGCAAGGAGCAGGACTGGGGGGCTTGGATCACCAGCGAATCTCTTCATCCAGGGAGAACTTGTCAGGATCCAGGGACAGACTGGACAACCAACATTCCACCAGCTTCCACACGTCAAGAGAGGATTTGAGTGGGAACGGTGGAGCTGTTGGAGCTGGAATGGAGGGGTACCTCAGCGGGACGAGGTCGCAGCTGAACATGCTGACTCGACGTCAGGGCTCGTCCCGGGAGCACCTCGGAGTGGCTCTGATAAGCAGCAGGTCAAAGGAGCAGCTGGAGACCAACGGAGCAGGAGCTCAGGCTCAGATGGGTCGGGAGTGGCTTCGGAGTCTGCCCCCTCGGCAGCCTTCGCACCCCGATCAGCCTCTCTCTGCCTCACCTCCTCCTCCGATCTCCGAGGAGCCCCAGCAGGAGCAACTACCTCACTCAGCTCATGCCAGAGGACGCCTGGACTCTGCATCTTCATGTAGGTACCCTGGTCAGACTGTCTCTCAGGTCTCAGGTCTAAATCCAACCCCCCTGGTTAGACAACCATCCAGTGAACAGCTGGACATTCTGTCCTCCATCCTGGCATCCTTCAGTTCCTCCGTCCTCACCCCTCCTGCTCCCTCTAACCCTAACGGCTCGGTCCACGGACACTCCCCTTCCCCACCCCAGTCCACCACGTCCCACAGCATATCTGAAGTCTCTCCTGACTCAGAGTAAGTACGTCTATGTATATTACTCCATTACTGTTCCACTGCATGTCCTTCAGTTTTTCATTTTATCGCCCTCAACCAATAAACTGAACACAGTTCAAGATGGCCACAACTGCTTAGTGGCGTTAGCAAACACTAAAATGGCAATGACCCACAATTTGACCGATACTGAGATGAAACTTTCTTTTCAAAAATGTTTATTGGGTGTATATCTAAACTGATAAATGTTTGGTGCCAGTCAGTCCATGGCAGGTGCCACTGAAGCTGGAGGCAGCCTGGCAGCTGACACCAGAAGTGCCACTATGGGTGCCACTGCCACAATTTGAGCTTGCTGTCTCTCATAATTCAAACAATTCCGAGAAAACCGGAACATTAGTCCCGGTTCCAATCGATTCTCGATACTTGATGCCCAACCCTATTGATGTCACTCCAATTCAAGATGGCTGCAACAGCTATTTGACCTTAGGAAATGTAAAATTGGCTATAATTCAAACAATTTTGGGATTTGATGGCAGCCCAATTAAAGATGTCCACCACGGTTATCAGACCTTAGGAATCATAAATGGCTATAATTCAGTCAGGTTTACAAATATTGAGTAAATTTGATGTGGTAGTAGCTGATAGTCGCCCTCAACTCAGAGTACCATCACATATTGTGGGATCACACATTTATGAGTGTGCATTACATAACTTACAAAGTACAAGGTTTGACAAAAATGTCCATGAATTTGTCCTTTCTCATCATAAAATGTATTTTTTTGGCAGAAAAGGTGGGTGATATGCATTAATTGAAAGGATGCTAAGCCTTTAATCTTGTATGTCTTCACCTTTAATAATCTGGAGCATGTTCTTCGTGTGTTTTAATCTGGTTTGTTTCCCCCTCTCCTTCCAAGCCCTTTGTATCTTTTCAGATAAATTATTTCTGTTTTACATGTATTTCTATTATTACTTACTATTCAAACCTTAATGGACAACCAAATGATGTCTCTTATCTCTTGACTTCACCTCAGAGCCAACAGAAGTGAGGGACAATCTTGATGACGGCCTCCGTACCTGTTAATGCGCTACGACAGTGCAGCCTGCACAAGGAGCAAAATCAAACATGGATGGGCCTGAGGTGATGGAACAACCATGGACGTGCAAACAAATTTAGTCCGAAGCAACGAAACAAATTAAAGATGGAAAAAATAAAATTTTAGTGACAGTGACAAGAGATTTGTAGGCAGGCTGTACTGTGTAAACCTTTGGAGTCTGCCCAAACTGATGGTTTTTTGGACAATGAATTAACCACCTCTACTACCTACAAACTGTTAGAAAATAAATAAACACACCTAAAACCAGATAAGATCCATTAAAAAAAACACACGATTGTAAATAACTTTTTATACATTTTTTAGCTTTTTCATTGAAGGTGAAGAAATCTCTTGTGATGTTCCTTTTTTTATGCAGTCGTGTCTGTGTGTGGTGGTGAATGAGCTCGATGCGAATGCGAACTTGTGAGGGACGAGATTTCCTCAACAAAAAAAAAAAAAAAAAAAAACTTACATTTCTTTCTGAATAACATTTTCCTCAGAATGTTTTCCTCACACGGTTGATCTTTATGTAAAGCGACAGGGGTCCGGCAATTGTACTCGATGAGATTATCAAAACCACAAGAGTAGTGGTTAAAAGGGGAAATATCAAAGTTGCAGAAAGTGATTGTAAATAGAGGAAGGGATTATTATGAGAGAGGAGATCTGATGGAACAAGGTGATTGTGCAAAGAAAGAGTCAAAGCTGGTGGTTGAACCATTGAAGCTCAGTCGCAGGTGTCAAAGTGTCCGCTCTTTGTTCGAGACCGTGTTGTTTTGTGATCTGATGTATATAAACATGATCTTGTCATCTATCTGTGTAACTTTGTGCCTGGTGCTGTCAGAAGCAGACCATATCAGACCAGTGATATAACAGGAACATCTCTTCAGAGTTCTGAGAACCCAGTGGGTGAAAGTTGATCTCTCTGTCTGCCTCCCTGCGCGAGGCTGACTCGTCTAAAAACTGCTTTAAAAGCACTGCCTTTCCTTGAGGGACACCGCGGGAGCAACTGAATCCCTCCAGCAGCATCCAGGAAACATTTATAGAAGCTTCTGAAGCAGAAGTTGTGCATATCTAAACCAAAGGGACCTGAAGTCAGTTTGAAACACCTTTTTTCTCCACCTAATATTTATGCGGGGTGTGACTGTGTTATCCAATTTTCTTACAACTATGATTTTTTTTTTTTTTTTTGCACGTTTTGCCACAAATGTAAAGACGTAAATATATTTGTTGGTACCCTTTCTCAATAATCTTCTACCATATAATTTAAAATGTGATGAATGGTGCAATCAGAACGTGACCTTGGAGTTCTGCTTGAATGGTTCAAGATGGTTTCCTTGTTTGTTTATTTCGAACAAACAACATTGCATGTAAATATCTTCAACACAATAATGATATCAAATTACAATAAAGAAAAAATTAATAAATAAACAAAGGAATGATGATATATAAATAATAACCACATACATTGGCAATATTGGTGTAAAGGTCTTGCAATCTACAAAATAAACTAAATAAGGTTTAAAAGATAAAGAGTTAAATAAATGTATACATAAATGAGCAAAATAAAATGTGTACCTTTACACCACTATTTTCTTAACAAATGCACAAAAATACATTCAAATTTGTATAATAAAGGGTCTGTTACTACAAAAAGAAAAAGTTAAAAAGACAACAAAGGTGTCTGTTTGTGAAATTAAGTTAAATTTCTTAATTCCTTGGTTCTTTTTCTACCATCCACACTATTCAACCTGGGGTTGCAGTTCCTCTTGCATCCACATCCCTGGAGGTTGGCCACAGTTCCATGAACAATATTTACTGTTTAATATTTGGCAACTGTGGTAGCAGGAACATAAAGCTGCTTGGAGATGGTCACACGATCTTTACCTTGAAAATGGATATTTATAACCTCCATTCTCCTGAAACTGCTCTCATCGTCGCTTTATCAGGTCCACGTTCAGTGACGTGCACACAGCGATACAACTACCAAGTGGCACGTTTGTTCCTTTTAAATTAGCTGAATGGCAAAAGAAAAGCTTGAAAATCCCTAAAGTGTCAATTAAGGTTAAACAGTTTGAAATATGACTATAATAATATAATAATAGTCACTTTAAGGGTTCCAACAACTCTGTCCTTATTGCTGTAGCATATCTTTGTGAAATCAACAAATCATTCATTTTCACATTTATTTAGTTTACTTCATCACATACTAAAAACAGTTACTTTCACAAGAAATGAAGCGCTGATTCAAGGGTACCAACAAATATATCAGTCTGTACATGTAAGATAAATAGTATTTCCATCAGTGAGGCCTTAGTTCTCCACCACCCATTTTGTATTTTCTTTTTTCGGGTCGGCTGAGTACAGCATGAGCAGGAGTTTTGATTTAGTCCAAAGATCATTGTGTCAGATTGTATCATTGTTTAAAGAAAAACATATTTAGGATGAGCTCCAATCCAGATGTTACTTGTTTGCAGTTTCTAGGAAATAATTCTAAACCAGATTAATTTTTTTCCTCCCAACAAAAAGTACCTGTTTCTAATCTGAGCAGGCTCAAAACGATCAGCTGATAAAACGTTTTCCTCCAAAAACAGAGAATAGAGATGTTGTTCCTTCTATTTAAGTGTTATACAAAGATGACAAGATCAACCAAAGTTTATTGCAGTGGTTTCTAAAAGCAAAAGAAAAACACGTCAGAAGCGTCAGCACTTAAAACCAGCAGCTGGTTGTTTCTTGTGGGTGTTGGAGCAATCCTTGTGAATTCAGGTCTACGGGAACACACTTTTTTTTTTATCAGCTTCAAATATATAAACAAATTACAGATTTTTTTTTAAAAACATGCTGAAAATTGTGAAACAAACAATTCGGCCTGCTCGTAAAACAACCAAAAAAAAGTTAATATACATGCAACTCTACAAAATGAGAAAAGCTTAATGCGGCAGATTTATTAGAGTAAAACAAAAGTTGCAAAACCGGAAATAATTCGACAAAAGATAAATTGGGTCTGAAGCCGTGACTCCTGCAGGGAGGACGACATGGACACTGCTCATCAGGAGACAGAACGAGACAGAAACAGGAAAATGTAGATAGTGAAACAAATCCAGCTCAATTATGTTCCTCCTGTCTAATGTCAGTCCCAACTCCCTGAAAACTAACAAACTGGTTCTGACACTTTTATTGCCAAAAATGTTCCTTCTAGGAATTGATGCCAGCCTTTTATTAAAGAAGTCCACCTAAAAACCCCAATTATCTTTCCTTCATTTATCTTTTTTTACAGATTTTATATTTAACAAACATGAGATTAATTTATTTATTGATCATTTATAAGCACTGTATGACTTTTTTTTGTTGCCATTTTGTATCAAAGTCTTAAAAATGTTTTTATGTTTGTTTTGCCCAAATGCTCCTTTTTTACATGTATAATTACTAATTAATGTTTGTTTGTTTTGTTTTTTTGCAATCCGAGTCTCTCAAGGCAACAAATTCACAGATGGAGGACAAGTTAATTGAAGCAATTTGAATGTAAAAGGGTTTTAATTAGGCAACAAATCAAAATCAGATTAAACGTAAAGCTTATTCACTGTTTTAATAGGATTTCTTGTCGAATCGTGGCCAAACTGAAAGAAAAGTCGTCTAAAGGGACATGGAAATTAATGCCTTTATCCTCTTGAATGACACATTTAAACATATCTGGATTAAAAGATGAATATATGGTTTAATAATTGTAGTTATGCCTCCGACGTGCACAAAGTCAGATCATCGCCTGGTGACTCAGCTTGATACTTTTCAGTCGCCTGTCGGTCAAAACGAAGAGAAGCTTACAAATTGGAGCTGTGTGGTTTGAATTATGGCACTCACACACGTGAAGCCAGAGGAGAAGATGGATCTGAGTTTAAAATGTTGTCATGTAGTTTGGAAAAGGAAAACAGAAGGAAAAAAGAGGAGGAATGATTGTCTTTGTTGGTTTGTGTGTTCATTATGAGATGCCTTCTATCCCGCTGTCGGGATGGAAACAGCTGTTCCCGTTGCCGCAGAAACAAGAGACATGTTGGACATTAAAAAATGATTTATTCCTACAACTCTGTGTGTGCGTTTATATATATTCTGTCTGTCTGATAGAAAGGCGCTCGCTGTTTTGCATTCATGAGAACGAGCAGAGGAAACTGAGTTCTTTTGTCTGACTTGTGTCGCTCCAAGTGTTCAGTCGCAGTCAGAGGCATGTCTTCATACAGTCACCTCGAGGCCAATGCTCCCAGCTGACACACAACATCACCAGTTCTGCATAAACCGGAGATTTAAACCTGAGACAAAAAAAAAAAAAAAACACCTGTGGAGGAATGGTAATGTCATGGCAGAAAAGATAAAGACTGGAAAGACTCAGCTTGTTGAATTTCATCCATTTATTATTAAAGAAACAAGCTGAAAAGCTCAAGGATGAGAAAATCCCAAGCGGCAGAATATATCTATACCTAAGATTTTGTAATAAAATGCTTTCTGAGCAAAACTTAGAAAAAACATTGGGCCAAACTGAACAGACTCCACACAACAGCTTTGTTAGGATATACTGTATCAGAAGGCATCTCAGTAAATCCTATTTTCCAACTAAATGGTCAGAAATAAAGAGAATCAAGAACTTTTTAAGTTTTCCAGTTCTTGCTAAATGTCAGATCCTCACAACAGCAGTAGAAAAACAGCTGAACTTCTTTCTTTAGTTATTAGGAAGGTTTGCCACAAATGAGAAAAGCCACCTCTTTTCTGCCTCGTCCAGTGCAGAACTGTTCTGAACGTTTGAGGATAAAGACTGAAAAGTGGGAAGGGAGTAGCATCCCAGATGGGCTCCTCAATTTGATAAACCGAGTTAAAGGAGGACATGACTTTTACAGGTTTGTTCCAGCCAAATACAGTCAGACACTGTATGAGCCATCTGTGAGGAGTTGAATGAGGCAGAACAACACAAACACATGAGCAGGTCAAGGAGACTGATTTATGTCAGCCATCAAATTATGTGTTTCCTGTTCTACAAGCCGTACATGTAAATAAGACGTTCTGCACGCGGTGAATTCACCTCTTTAATAAAAAACACCTTCAGAAGTCTACTGTAAAAATCTAACACCCATTCAGAGAGGCCTTCATTTGATGACGGTTGGGAGCATTTTCACTGTTCAGCTGGATTTTTGTTTGGTGGACTTTGATCATTTTCATAAGACTGAGAGGAAACAACAGAACTTTTTAATAAATAAAAAAAGAAGCTAAAGATAACGCTTTCACCCCTTCTTTATGGATATTTTCAGTTTGTTTATGATCTGATCTAGGGATGCACGATATTGAATTTTTGGCCGATATGTTAAAACTTATTTGACCGACTCGCTGCTGACCACCCGGATACGTGGGCCGGTGTGGCAAAAATCGATTGGCTGCCAAATGGTGGCCATGGGAGCATGCAAAGGAGGGCTTTAACAAGAATTTAACAAGATGGACACTTAAAAACAATTATTTGTTTAATTGGCAGTATAGCAAAGGTGTCTCCGTCTAATTTTTTCCTTAATAAAAGCACTATATTGGTCAAATCAGCTGCATTTCAAAAATCAATTTACGGCTGCTGGAGCGCGCAGAAGGACTCGCTGTGCATTTCGTCAAAATTTAACAAGATTAACACCTAAAAACAATTGTTTGCTTGACATTATAGCAAAGGTGTGTCTCAGTTGAACTTTTCCTTAATAAATTCACTTTAATGGTCAAATCAGCTGCATTTCTCCTGGGCAGCGCGGCGAAATGCAGCTGATTTGATGTTTGCTCCAGGAGTTCTGAAGGGAGATGAAGGTGGCTTTGTATGGCAAGCCAAGTGTCTCATTAATAGCCACTTTTACCTATTAATGGGACAATTGGCTTGCCATAAGACTCGAGGGCCCTCTAGTGGCTGAAGATAGTAGTGTTCAATATTTTCCATGTCAGAATGAATGAAATCGTCAGATCTAAGCCAAAATTTGGGTTATAAATATGGGGAAAAAACATTAAGTCGTTTCACCATATAAGTCGCAGGGCATGCAAATTTATGCAAAAATGTGTGACTTATACAGTGAAAAGTACGGTAACTGTACTTATAGTGAGATCAGCAAAGAATGCTAGTTTTGTTTCTAGCTAGTGGAGTGAAAAAGTTACTAATTTGCAGTCTTGACCTTAAACAAACACGTTTTGTTAACACCCATTATCAGAGCTGGACGTCAGTAATTATTTTAAAGTTAAAAGATACAATGCTCAACAGTCAGACGTGAAGAAAGAAATCTGGTTTCCAAAAAGAAAAAAAAAAAAACACATTTATTAAGTTTGTACTTTTCATTTTGAAAATACAAAACCTATGTACCAACGTGCACAATGATTACCAAGGTAACAAAATATACTTGCTTGTGTTAGCATGCACTACATGAGTTTGCTAAAAGATTTAGTGATCTCTTATTATATCTGTAATCACTTAAAAAAAGGATTTCTTACTTCTAATGAAAGTATAACTAAACAAAATCATCTTGTGAGTTGTAACTTTTAAACTATAATGTGAAAAAAACACATAAAATGATCGTATTTTTACAAGTGAAGTAATTTAAAGTATTTTTCCATTACATTCTTATAATTAGTATCAAATTCACTAATTCCTTTGGTCCTTGTTTGCAGCAGCTGTTTGGACGGCACAGAACCAGTGAGCTTGTAGCAAACCTACACAACCACATCACTGGTTCCACTCTGTTGTTTTTCTTTTGGCTGCTCCCTTCTGCAGGGTTTGTCGCTACATGGAGCAAATTTTGCACAAAGGATGTAGCAACTGTTCAACGCAGGATACCTTTCCCGATGCAACCTGGGCTCAAACCTGCAGCCTCAGATCTTTGAGACTGTGTCACTGACCACTGAGCTACCGCAGCCCAGTACTGGTACTAAATGTTTTTTTTTTTATAGATTTAAAACTCTTCTACTGAAGCTGAAGATCCCATACAGTGTCATTATGCCTTTGGTTTTCTGTGCAAAGCTTTTCTGCTCTGAACCTACAGTTAAGTAAAATGCCTCCCCGTAAGGTGTTGAGAACTTAATCAGCTTCGAACCAGCACCGTGGTTCTCCTGAACAAACTGTTCATTTAGGAATAATAGAACAATTGATATAAATCTATAAACAGTCACAGTTGCATGTCACATGGGTGGAATAATACAAACACAAGACGAGAATTAAAAGTGTTGGACCAGTTCAGCATTTTCTTCTTCCTCCCCGCTGCTGGAGGAGGACGGGGACACGTCTTCACCCAGCTTTTTTAACTTGGCTCTGTAGTAAATCTTCTTCATCCTGAAGGCTTTCCGTTTCTGCCGGGACGCTTTCATTTTTTCCCCCATCAGCTCCTGCTCCCAGGCTAGCACCTTCATCCGGTTCTCCCACTCCAGAATCTTCATCTGATGCTGCTCCGCCTGAGTATCTGCTCTCTGCTGCTGCTCCAGTCTCGAAAGGTCCAAGGTGTCATGCAGAGCATCTTCTTTCTCAGAGTCTGATAGGTGGAGGTGCTGGTTAATCAACCTGGAGGTGCCTGTGAGATCAGAGTAAAGGATGACGGGTGAACCTTGTCTGGAGCTGACAGGCAGCTGGTTTGCAAACTCTCAGAGAAGAAGAAAAAAACATTAAAAATGAGTAAATGTTTCATTTTGCACAGTCTTCTGCAATTGATATCATTATTGCTGGATCGAGTATTTTTTTGTGTTTGTATTATTGCAAACTTCATTTTTTAAAGATCCTTGGGAAACCAATAGACAAAAAAAATGCATCATGAAGTATGGAGATAACTAGATCCATACAAAATCACCCTTAAAACAAAATCCTGAGCATAAAATCTCTCAGACCTGAAAGAAACAGAATATTTTGCTCTAAACTGCAGTAGGAAAACTGTTGTCAATTTAACAAGATTTCAGGAACTAAGTGAAGAAAAAAGAAGTCAAAATGCTGAGTAATGTAAAATTCTGATGATTTCATTAGGGTTGGTAATATGGACTATATCTTTTTCACTCAGAACCTAAGAGAAAAGTCCTGTTATTGAATATCCAAGCTTTTTTTCTGCACATTTTTTTTACATTAAGCTGAGCAGGAAGCAGTGAGATGTTCCTTTTCCAGTGAGACAGTGTTACTGTAACACTCCCCAGCAACAGAAACCTAATGACTACATCCACCTAAAGTTAACGTTTAATTAGTCAAATTGTTCAAATTTTCTCTAAACAAAAAGTTTTACATGTGTTTCCAGGCAACAGACAAAAAAGCAACTTGCAGCCCTTCATCTGTGTTTACCTGGTGCTGTGAAGTAGGGCGTAGGGAATGTTGCATCCTTCAGCACTGCATTGTGGGAGATGGAGTTTGTAGTGGCGCTCTGGTGCAGATCGGCCCAGTTGCTGCCCGTTATTCTTTCCAAAGCTTCACGCTGGAAGCAGATGGCGATTTGCTCCTTGCTGTTGTCTGCCTAAGAAGGAGGTGTTGCATTTTTTTCAATTTGAGCAGTATTGCATTATACATTTTTGGAGTTTTGCATCTATTTCAATAGCATTACATTGAAAACAATAATTTGAAAACAAATTATTACTTTTTTTAAATTTACCTGATTTACTTCATCTTTTATCTGCCCAGTGTCAATTATTTTGCCTGCAGTGTAGAAAAAAAAAGGAGGAACAGGGAGGGTCTGAGGTAAATTTTAAAAATAAATAGGTAAACAGCGCCCCCGTGTGGTCAATGTAGATATAACAGAAAATTTAAGCAAAGTACAATACTGTACAGTATAACAATTATATATCGTCACATAATAATGATGGGAAATTTTCTGTAAGGGAAAAAAGGATGAACGCTAATGAATAAGCGGGGTTTTAGAGTAGATTCTGATTTCATAGCATTGATACACTATTATAATGTTATTTTACCTTAATGTAACAGCTGGCTTATTGGAATTTGTAGTTTAAAAAAAATAAAAAAATAAAAAAATTTGATGAGTAATAGCAAGAAAAGTCCCCCAAAACATTGCTCTACATTTATTATTTATATCAATATTGTTTTCATTAAACCTTTATTTATACAGGTTAGTCTCATTGAGTCACGAGGACTCATTTTCAAGAGAGACCTGTTTATTATTTTTATTATTAATATTAGGATTATTGGTTGTGGGGGGTAAAGTTCCAGACAGATAATTGATTTTGAAAATGTACATACAAATTGGAACTCTTGTTCAGGGACTGTCCTGCAGGGAAAAAGAAAACTTGCAAACGTTTAGTGTGCCCTGTTTAGTAAAGTGTACATGTGTATTAATAATTACGCGTGTAATGGGCAGAAAGACGCATACGCAATAAATAAAACAGGCAAACACAACATGTGTCACTGCAGAAACCTCTTTATAACAGCAGAGGTCGGTTGTTGTACTAACCTTCCAGCAGCATGCGGACCGCTGTTTTGTGGCTAGCACTCCCTGCGTGGCTGGTGAGAGCAGCCTCGCCCATGGTCTGAAGTTTGATTGATTTACAGCAGGCCCTGCATCGAGCTAAGTAAATGTCACCGGCATCCTTAGCCAGCCAGTCCTTAAAGGCGGCCTTCTCGAGCCAGGACTCTTGGAATTTACATTTTCCGGGCATAATTAGCTACAAAGTTAGCTGAACCGCTATCTAATGGAAGCAAACCCCCTAGTCTGCCTCGTGATGCGTTTGAGTGCCCCACGAAATTGTACTTTCAGCAGCTGTACTACGAACGAGAGGAAAATTATGAAAGACGTGCGCAAACTTTAACCTTTTACAAAGCCTAAAAAGTTTACCGTTATACAGAATTCTCCAACACTGTACCAAAAATAAAACTAGATAACTACAACTATTTTTTTTTTAAATTAAAGAGGACAAATATATTCAGTTTTAAAATAGTAAAGTGATAACGTTTTGTTTAGAGTTAAACTAACATTAAACAAACCTATAGACAAAAAATAATAACCCTGATACTGTAATGGAAATTTTAATACGATGCATCTACGATCAACTGAGTAACTATGTTGTACAGAAAACACTTAAAAGCATCACAACCAATCGCTCATTGGTCACGTGCAATCTTTAAGCCAATCAGCATTCAGAAAGGAGATACTGCAGCTTGATTGGTTGAAATCTGACAGGAAACAGAAATGAAACGCATGGGGGGTTCTTCGTGTACAACTATCCTAAATACATTTATTAGCATGAGGGTTAGAAACCTAACATATCATTGTTTAAATCTTTAAGATTATAGATAAGCAAGTAAGCAAATGAGACCATTGTTATTTATTACTTTGTAGCGATATGAAATGATACAAAATCGCTCCTGCTGTTAGCTTGTTTCGCAAACTAAAAGGCAAAAGTATTTTAAAATAAAAAAATGGAGACAGCCGCCCTGGTAGCTCCAATCACAAGTTTGGAATTCCTTCAGGATGAGTTTTTACTTACAGGTAAGCTTAATTTTTTTGTTGTCACTGTACCTATTTTTTGTGACATGTTATAAGGCAAAGACAAACAGAACTTTTATTTAGGTGATTATGTCTCTATATGTACATGGGTATTCGATGCTCTTTTGTGTTGTTGATCCTAAAATATTTTTTATCTACCCGATCAGAACAAAACTTGTGAATAACAACAGCTTTATAACACAAAATTGAGTGTTCAATAAGGAATTCGTCGTGACTATGGAATAGGCTACTGTCAGTCTTCTATTAATGAATAAGATAATTCATTGCTGAGCTCAGAAATCACTAACCAATCTCCAAATGATTAGAATTTGGGTAAATTCCTGCAACTTGGTAATAAATCCTCCCAACCAGGTTTAGGCTTACAAATGCAACAGTTACAGCAGATTGAAAAGCTTAAAACAATAAACAATTAGATGAGAAGCTAAATTAATCCCTCCAAAAATGCTGAAACAAAAGTTCAATTTCACACTGTCCTGGTTTTCAAAGATGTACCATGACCGTAGATCACTACTGTGCATCTTCCATAGTGAAACACCTTAAAAAACACCCATATATTATTGTTTTCCTCTCTGACAGGTGAAGGTCCAGTTTTGTCAGTGTACAGTCTCCAACCTCATCCTAAAGCCAGCGTCTCACTCAGTGTCCTCCAGCATTACAGAATCCATGGAATAAGGCCAAGAAGTCAGACGGCTGTTCCCATACAAAGCTCTACCACAGTCATCCACAGGCACAGGGAACACGGTGAGCACATCAGATGCTTGTGTCCATTGTTTGTTTTAATTTTCATTGTTTTATTGTCACAAAAGTTGTAATAAAAAGTCTTAATCAGACTTAATCAACAATAATTTTGCTAGAAATCTGGATTTATGCTTACAAATAAAGAAAAAAATAAGCATACAAGTATTATATATTGCCTGATTAGATGTTATTCTTGTCTTTATAAAAACTGTTCTCTTTAAAGATATGCTCAGTGTTTGTTCATGAACATTAACTTACACAGTTCCACTGTCATTCCCAGACAAGAGCTCCACCTCAAAGCTGCGTTTCCATGACTTGGCAGTGTTTGGAGGAAAGGGGGTGAGGCTGGTGAGGCTCTCTATGGATTTCCATGTTGTGGAGCAACTACATTTGGAGGTCCTGAGTCCCCTTTTGGAGCTACAGGACTGGGCCTTGGATGCCCGCTGGCTCTCCGGAGACGAACAGCCACTGCTCTGTGTGGCTGTCGCTCATAACGCTGCTCTTCTCCTGGATGTTGTTTCAGGAAATGTGCTGGCTCATTGCTCCTGTTTTGAAGGTTGTTTGTTATATTCTGCCCTCCTTCTGGTACATGAATCCTGGACAGATACCGTCTTGGTAGGGGGGACCGTTTTCAACCAGCTGGTCATTTGGAAACCAGGGGGCGGTAAAAAATTGAGCAATTCTGGTCTTGGTGCTCCAGTTGAGCGACGTCTGTCAGGCCACAGTGGTGTCATCTTCAGTATCTCTTACCTCCAGGAGCAAGGACATCTAGCTTCAGCATCGGATGATCGAAGTGTTCGAGTCTGGGGTGTCGGAGTGATAGGTGGCCCTGGAGGGAAATGTGGGGAGATGAACCCAACTTGTTTAAGAATCCTTTATGGTCACCAAGCCAGAGTGTTCTCGGTGTATCTCTCTCCAGATAGAGTGTTCAGTGCTGGGGAGGATGGGGCCTGTTTAGTCTGGGACTTGGCCGGTGGTGAAAAGGTGATTCGCACACTGAAGTGCCATCGAGCAGGAGGCATCCGTGCTCTGGCAGTCAGCGATGTGACAGGTGATAAGAGATGGGTGGCTACAGGAGGGGCAGATGGGGGGGTCAGGCTGTGGAAAGTGGATAACAATGAGCAGAATAACGAGAATATGAATGAGACAACAGATAAACTAACAGATCTAAAATGTCCTAATCATGATCCGCCAAAAGTCGTTTGTATACTACGAAGAAAAGATGAGAACATGAGTTGGGGACAGTTTGTAGTTTGCACTGACAGAGCAAAAGTTTACCAATACAGTGACGGAAAGTGGACAACATTATGGCAAGGGCCTCCCGAGTTTTATTCCTACTGTGTAATGAGCACAATACCTGCTGCTGTAAAAGATTCGTCCACCACGGTTAATTTGTGTGCTGTGGGAAACCTCAGCGGATCCTTACAGGTGTTTCCCACTTCTCATCCTGAATCTGGGGTCAGTCTTACATGTGGATCAGGGAAGATTCATAGTGTTATTTGGCAAAATGGAAAAGATGAAGTATATTTGCTAGCATCAAGTGCTGGAGGACTTGTTTATCGTTGGTGTATAGATGTAAGATTAAATGAAAACTGTTGCGTAGTTCTTAGTGTGAAATCTCTTCCGTCTTTTCGCCTACCTCAGTGCGCTAAGTGTTGGCTCACAGCTGCAGTTCTCCAGCTTTGCTCAGAGACGCTTCTTTGGGTTTGTGGCGACAGGAGAGGCTCCTTGCTGTTGTTTAAGGAAGGAACGAATACAGAGGAGCAAAAAAGAGATGAAGTGCTGAGCAACAGGAAACTAGTCAATGACAAACAAGAAGCAGTTGAAAAAAGCAGAATGCTGGGGAAGGAAGGAGGCGAAGAAGAAGTGCTGCAGCCACTGAGCTGTCTGTTTGGGGTGCATTTGAAATATGGCGTCACTTCAGTGTGTGAGCACCAAGGACTGCTCTACAGTTCTGGTAGGGACGGCTGTGTGAGGGTTTTCAGAGTGAACCGAGCATCACCTGAAAACCCGGAGGAGAGCCAACAAGATGGAAGCGTTGAGAAGGAAACGCTTCAGCTGGAAGTGCTCCGAGTCCAGAGGGCCTGTAAAGGGATGGAGTGGGTGGAACGAGTTTTATTTCTTGAATCTGAAATTCCAGTAGAGAAAGAGAATTTTGAACATCAGTGGGCGGCTGAAGATGGAGAAGCCAAGGAGAGAGAAGCCAAATTTGTCATTGCAGGCTTCCACGCTGCTCATTTTGTGATTTGGGACCCTGTGAGGCAGGAAACGCTGATGGCGGTGCCATGTGGTGGAGGGCATCGCTCTTGGAGCCTCTGGCCATCGCACACGAGCATTTGGCCTGGATATGGAGCTCTGGTCTTCATCAAGCAGGGAGCAGTCCTGACTTCTCAACCCCCCGGAGAGACGCTTGACTGGGCTGAGAAGGAGGGAGGCGTTGCAGGGTGGAGCTTGAGAGAAGCCATTCATGGGCGGGGGATCTGGTGTGTCTGCAGGCTGGGGAGGATTGAGGAGTTTAGAAATGACATTCAGACAAAGTGCGATACAAATATGAGTGGAAATGAGGGGTGTGAGGTGGGAGCAGAGAAAATGTGTTGGGAGATTGTGGTTACAGGAGGAGAGGACACCAGCTTAGCTGTCCTGGCCATAAATCCAGTTTCTGGCATCATCAGAGTTCTCTCAGTTCTCACCGACCACATCTCAGGAGTGCGCGCAGTGACGGCAATAACGCGCTCAAAAGAAGGAAGCAAAAAACAGACGTCATCGCTCTCTGCCCTGCTGCTGTCGGCCGGCGGTCGGGCTCAGATCCAGTGTTATCGGCTGGTGGTCGTCTGGGACAGTCAGAGACAGTCCCCTTCCTGTCAGGTGGTCCAGGTGGCAAGCCACCGCTTGGACATACAATGGGAAAGGAGGCGGAACCGACACAGAACTGTGAAACTGGACCCAGAAACAAGGCAAGTTTTGATGTAATTAAAATTTTTGAGCTGGCACCGTTCTTCTGTTTTTGTACTGATTTGCTGGGATTTTAACTATAAAAAGTTATTCATGTTTTAAAAGCTCTTTATTTGCGATGCAGTAGTGAGATTTGCTCTAATATTGGAAATTTAATTTATTGCTGTACAAGCTATTTATATTTTATCGAATCAAGTGTAATAATTTGTGTTTGTTCGTTTTCAGATATGTCTCCATAGAAGTTCTGGAGGAAAGGATGGACTGTGTCTTTCTGGCTTTGTCCTGCAGTGATGGGGCTGTCAGGTTGGTTTCATTTTATCTTGAAAGCTGAAGAAAAGCAGAATCGGTGCTTTAACGTTCTTAGTCATTTTAAACACGCGGTAAAGATTAAATGATTGTTTGCAGTTTCTGCTAACCTTCATTTCCGGCTCCTTTTTGTCGTAATAAATATTCTGGTTAGCAAAGTTAAAGTTAGATTAAACTCAAGTTTATTTTTGGAAAAGCACATGTATTGAACAACTAATTGCATTATGTTCTTTTTATGTACAAATTTGTATAATAATTTAAGAGTTACAGTTAAGGAATAAAGGTTAAGGAATAAGGAGCGCCTGTGCATGTTCATAGCATTTCTGTCTTCATGTAACTAAGATGTTACACATGTATTAATTTGCCCACATACATGCAATTTTGTTGTCTTTACAGACTTTTTTTGGTCAATGAGGTTAAAAATCAAATTGACTTGTTGTGGGAGACATTTTACCACCAGCGCTGTGTGCTCAGTGTCGCCTCCTGCAGCCTGAAGGAAGACCAAACCAACAGGTGAGTTTACTTTTATTAACATTTGTAGACACAACAGTGCACCTTTTTAGATCCATATATTTGTTGTTTTGAAATGTACATAATCATGTAATTGCCTTTGTGTATATGTATGTTTTTATGAAATAATATTTATTGCACTACTTGATTAAATTGTCCAAGTCTTTGGGTAAACTCATATTTTTTAATTGTGCATGTTAAATGAACCTTCCATTAAAAGTGACGTTACTGTGCTTCTCTTGCAGGTCTACACTGCTGTTTAGTGCTGCTACAGATGGGAAAATTGCTGTGTGGCATTTGACTAAAGCTCAGTTTTCATCGACTGTTTATTCAAGTGGTGCTCCAACCCCACCAGTCCCCTGCCTCGACATTCCCGCCCACCAGAGTGGCATCAACTCATTGGCTGTTTGGGCAGAGAAACTGGGAAGACAAGAGGGTGGTTGCCTTGTAACTGTTGTGAGTGGAGGAGATGATGGGCAGCTGACAGTGTCCACAGTAAGGGTGCAGTACCCAGAAGATGGGAAGATTGTTGGCAGCTGTCATGCTCGTACACTATCACAAGCACAAGTTGAATCTTCTAACCAGATTCAGCTTCAGCTGCTTTCCCAGACCCACATCCCACTGGCCCATGCTGCCCCCATTACTGCCCTGAAGCTCCTGAGTCCTGGCCTTCTTGTCTCTACATCCTCAGATCAGAGGGTTTGCTTGTGGAAGGTCAGCAATACTGGTGTCAGCCACAGCGGGGCACTGTTCTCCCATGTAGCTGATGCTGCAGGGCTTGCAGTGTGGGAGGAGGGTGAAGGAGGTGAAGAGGGAATGACAGGTTTTGCGACTGAGCAAGTAAATGCAGACTGTGGGGGAAAAGTTGACCCAGTTTGTCAGAACAGTGACAGAAAAGGCTGTGAGACAACTGGTGATACAGATGGGATGATGAGTTCAAAGACTTCCTATGGGAGCAGGAAAAAGAGATTGAAGGTGGGATGGGTGCTGGTTTGTGGTCAGGGCTTCCAGCTACTGAGACTCAGAAGCTCAGAGATGGAGACAGAGAAAAAAGTAAAGGAGAACCAGCCAGTTGCAGTGACACTAAAGTCAAAACACTAAAATAATTTTTACTTTCCAAAGGAAATGTTGATATTTATGTTGATGACCCGTTGATCATTTGAATGTCTTTTTGGAAGCTATTCCATCCATCCATTATCTTTACCCGCTTCTTCCATTTTGGGTCATGGGGGTCGCCGGTGCCCATGTCCAGCAATCACTGTGCGAGGGGCGGGGTACACCCTGGACAGGTCGCAAGTCCATCACAGGGAAGCTATTCCATAATCAAATAAAGTGTTTAAATAAAGTGAATTTTAGGGATGCACAATATTGGATTTTTGGCCGATATGTTAAAACTTATTTGGCTGATAACCGATACCAATACTGATATTTTTTCCCCTAGACCTACTTGCAGAGACTACTTATCTTTCTCTGCTGTGGAATTAAAATACAACATTAGTCTGCATGGTCTTTATCAGTTTGGCCTGCTGCAAAATGCAGATGCCAAAAAGGGGGCTGAAAATGATGCAACGCTTCAACATGGATTATGTTTAATGTCAAATTTATTCATGACATTTACTCTAACACAATGACAACACTCAAACTGTGCAAATTTGTAAATTGTCACAAATCTAAACTCAGTGTGCGTGATGTCATAACGTGCTGGCGCTGCAGGCATCCTTGTCACTGGGTTGTCACACACAAACAGCGCTTTATATACACATATATGTATATATAAACAGCGCCTTTCATATCGGTGAGTTATTTTGATGGATTAGCCGATGTCCGATATTTAACTTTATTGCTAATATCGGCCGATACCGTGTCGATAATATCGTGCATCCCTAGTGAATTTATTTTCCAGATTTCAGTTTGCCTTTGCAATTTGTTTATGAGGATAAAACAATTTCACAAAATGTGTTTTTATTTCAAAAACACTGATAAAAGTTCTACCATAAAAGATTGAAAGGCAGTTTAATGGTTTTAATTTCCTAAATTTCAGGCTGTTGATTAAAGAAACCATTTATTTAGTGACTTAAAAATTAGATATTGGGATTTTCTTGAAAATAAAACACCATTTTCTTTCTTGTAATAACAAACTAAATGCCTTTTAGTGTTCATCCAGGATAGTTTAGTATTTTTATTGCTGCATAAGAACATTAAAATCTGTCATGTCATGTTTTTAGCAATCTGTGAGAAAATGACAAACTGCTCATAAAGGATGAGAGTTCTGTCTGATGCAATATTTCATGTCTCATCCATCTAAAAATAAACCTTTGTTTTTTTTAAATGTTCAAAATATTTGAGAACATCTTAATTTACTGACATGGATAAATTTATTGCTACCCCTATACAAAAAAATCCAATATCACAACTGATGTAACTGGCCACAAAGCTCCAGAAACTTTGAGGCTTTTCAACTTCATGTTGAATTCCTGTCTTTTTTTTGTGTTTTTCTGTCAATACTGGAGTCCTACTTGTCTTCACAAAGCCCATTATGATTCAAAATGTAATGGATGGTGCTGTCAGAAAGTGACATCTTGACCTTGGAGTTCAGCTTGAATGGTTTTCTTGACTTATTTTATTTTTATATAATTTTCAGAATGTGTCTGACCACCCTGGGGTTGCATTTCTTCTTGCATCCATATCCTAGAAAGCTGACTTATTGTCCCATGAACCTTATATATTTTAATGTCTGTCAAATGTGCTGATCTTCTTTTTGAGCTCACTCACCTTTGTTTTCTCTGCTCCATGTTGAGTGTGACCTGAGCATCATTCAAAGTTTGATGACAACCCTCCAAAGAGCAGAGCTCCTTGGGTTCAAACTTGACTTTTTTTTTTGCTTTTGGCTTTTTTCTAAATTTGAAAAAGATTTAAATAAAATGTTCTACTTTAACTTTAAAAAGTTCTCTTGTTACTTTATATATTTTTTTTAATTAAAAGAGGTCTTGATCAGTATATTCCTAAAGAGCTATTGGCTGAAAAGTAAATGAGCAGTTGAAATATGTTTTTAGGTTATTGTTGGATGTTTTCCTGTTGGTCAATTATGATTTTAAGATATTGTCTGTTTGCACACACTGCAGAATACATTGTCATAGAGTCGACGTTAAATAAGGGAAATATCTATTAAGAAGGAAAACTTTGGAAAACCTCCATGAAGCTTAGAGAACTGCAAATCTTTAAAACACATTAGGAAAGTTTGGCTCATTGAGTCAAAATGTAAATAGGGATAACATTTTTGCACATTTGTATTAGGTCAAAGCCCCTGAAGGGGCAGGCTGCAGGTATCCATAAATATTTTAACATTCTCATCTCGTGTTGCTTTTTGTCAAGTGTCCAAGTTTCACTAACGGCGCTTGTGGTAAAAGAAGAGAAAGAGCAGGTGGGGAAAGTGTGAGTGACTGTAAGGGCTGGGGCTGAGTGGTTGTAGAGGAGCTGGAACATGAAGACAAAGCAGATGAAAGCTCCCGGATCCTATTTCACTTTGGGACCTTTGTGCCCTTTGCTGTCATACATGAAGTGAAAAACAGATGAGAATAAAAGCCAGGCAGAGGACAGGATCAAAGTAAATGTTGGTGAAGAACGTGATAGATTCAGAGATTTCCAGCTGACATTTTGAAATTCTGCAACTTGTTTTTGTTCTAAGTTTTATTACTAATGGAAAGCTGCACCGTTAGCATATTTTTTATTTAAAAAAAACAACCTTATGGATTTCAGCCTGTGAAGGCATCACCATCTGCAGTGATGAAGCGCCAGTAGGAAAATTATTCCTGCATCTTATTGACGACCCAAGTGTTGGCGTGTAACTGCCAAGGATGTTTTGCATCACCCAGAGGGCAACGAGACATAAGAGTGCAGCTGTCAAAGTGCAAAGTGAGTGACATTTTGAATCAATCAAAGAGGTAGACACACCTTTTCCATTTCTGATTCTGAATTTATTTCTTGGCGTGAAGCTTATTTCCAGTCTGAAATGTCAGATTTGTATGAAAGTACATTTTGACTGAATTTCCCTCCTTATCTGAATATTTGGCAACGTGCTTCTGTTCCTCGTTCCCCATTTCAACTTGTCACTCCCAGTAAATTACATTTCGCATTTGAAATGCAGCCTAAACAGTCGAGAGGGAGACTGCAAACATGTTCGAATGCATCACAAGTGCAAACGTTTGTAATTCAGCCACAGCCTAAAATGCCGTGCTCAGACACTCGCAGGATTAAACGGCACTTTGCACAACCAAGACTGATGGCACAGATAGAAACAAATGAGTGAAAACTGAATTCTGATGGTGAAATATTAATGTATTTTTAAAATTAGTATGTGGGAAAATCTGTATCAAGTTCATCTAATATTACAACTTTTGACCTGCTTAAAATTTATCAGTAGGAAAAATATTATTGGAAACATGGATGGTGATTTTAGACTTCTTGCATTCAAAAAAATAAAAAATAAATCAGATATTTGTAAAACCATTAAAAAATAAAATAGTAACAGACAATAAATAATGTTTTTTCATATTTTTGTGTACATAAGAACAACGTTCAAACTTGGTTTTAGAACATCTGGAATGGAATGATTTGACATGATACTAATTTAAGTTTCTGGCTTTAAGATTTGTGATGTCTCGTCGCAGACGGCCTTTCATTGGATCATCTGGGAGCAAAACAGGTAATCACTTCTTATCAATGCCTATGTACTATTTTACATGTTACAACCACACTGTAACATGAAATGGAGATTAAACCAATCTATCTATCAATCTATCTATATCTATCTATCTATAGATATATATATATAGATATAAATAAAGATAAATCACAGTGAATATATAATACAATCCGTTTCATTTGCGGAACACCTCTTAACAAATCAGCTTTTTTAAATAGTAAATTTTGCTAAGTTCGACTGCATTAAATAAAATCATTTATGCTTTAACCCGGACTGTATGTTGTCTAATCTACTTCTAAATTGAATGGATTTAACTTGGACGGAATTGACATGTGTTAAATCCAGACAGTTTATAACAATTTTCTTAATTTTTATGATTATAAATACATTCAGACATCTCAATCTTTTTGTCCTTCCAGTGACTCATCAGACCAGTCTGAAAAAACATAACCGGACGGACAGTTCTTCCTCAGATCCTCACCCAGCACCGCCCTCCATCCTCCTCTCAGACACCACCATGACACCTTGGGGAGGCTTGGCTCATGTTGAATCCTCCTTCACCACGATCCCCAAAGCCGTTCCTCCTCCAAGGCCCCCACCTCTTCCACCCTCACCTCCTCCTGTCCCTCAGCCCACACCTACTTCTCCTTCTGGGAAACAAGAAGAAGATGAAGACTGTTCAAGTTTCAGCTCTGAAATCCCATCTCCATGTCAGGTGGTCTCTCACAAGAATGCAGGTATAACGAACCACATGATCCATTATAGATACTTTATTTTCCTTTTATTTTATTTCCGATGACGACGACAGAGGTGGTGATGGGTATTTTGTCTGATTTGAAGTGGATTGGGGATGTTATGTACAGACTTAAGATACCTTGTATAATTATTTTTATGTCTTTCCCTATTAAAGACATAAATACAATTTGACTGATCAAAACAAGACATTCAGGAACAATCCATTTAATTAGATTTTCTGGTGATCCGATTTAATGAACTGTACATACCAGGGTATAGTGCTTTAGCTTTAGTGTTTGGTTTTTTGAACATTACAGTAACGTATAACTTAAAAACAATGGGCATAATATTGGACTTTATAAATTGAAAATAACAAAGCTTTATAAACATCTGGCCTGCTGTGTCAGCTGTGAAGTTGGTCCCAGTCATGGACATAATTTTCCATCTGTTCCAGTGAATGGTGATCTTTCAGTCATCCAAACACTTCCTGTCATTTCTCTCTCAGTAGATGTGGTCAACAGAGATCTGTGGAAGCCGAGGCGGGTCTTGCCACTGCCCCAAGTTCCTCGTCCTTCTCGTTTTCCACCATTACATCCCATCACCAACCTGAGCTTCTCCCGAAGCTTCACCTTCTCTTTCTTTGAGCTGCCGCTGCATCACTCTCCTCACTGCCGAACCGTACATGTCCGAAACCTCTTACTGCTTTT